AGGTCCAGTAATGTGAAAAAAATAGCAAACTACAACGTGCTTCATGTTTAACCATGAATGTAACCATGTTTCATTATTGAAGTCCATGTGCTACAACAATATATTTCTGCTATAAAGAGACACAGCCATAAAAATGCAATACATGATGGCAATACACCTTTAGTTGAAAGGTTCATCTAGCAATCCAGACATTCACTTCACTCCCTTTCCTCACTTTATTTCCCTCTGCATCAAGGACATTTCATTTCATAACTTTTCCAGTCTAATTAGTTCAAGTTGTTGCATATTACATATAAAATGTTGAAGGTAACAACATTTTATACGTGTAGGAGATCCATGTTTTATCTTTGGTACTGCTATAAGAATCCTCTGAACTTTATGATTTATAATGTGGATTGTAGGATCATCATTAGTTTATCCTCAGTCGAGCCCTCGAATAAGGTTTCAAGTCATCCCCATCTTCTTTGCATTTGGCTAGTTCACCACACGTTTCTGCACCTGCATCCCTCTTGTGAGTGGATGCCCCTGTGTTGTCTCCAACAGCACCAGCTTAAAGGCTAGGAGTAACTGATGTCTCTGGCAATGACCTGCAAGCCTCATCCTCCTGCATGCTGTATTCTCACTCACCCTTGGCAACCACCCATATAACTCCTTAATGGTGACATTCATGTCCTGCTTGATGTTCAGAACTACTACCGGCATTCGGGTGAAGCATCGGTCCAGTGACTTCTGCGGACAGCATTCACAACTGTAAAATAGAACAGACTCTATGGTCACAGTGAAAAATCTGAGTGTCTGGACCGTCTTTTAGTTGTGGAGAGTTCCTGCTGCCATACACTGATGGCATATAAAAGGGGGAAGGCATGAGGGTGTCCCCTTGCAACAACCCCGCCGTGATGACAAACTCCTTGCTGATGTGGTCTGGGGTCACAACCTATGCTGTTGTGCCAGTTCACATGGTCTCTATGGCCTAGCAAAGGTTTGGGAGGAAAACCATTGGCCTTGAATATCCTCATCATGACATCCCTGTATGCTGTAAATAAAGAGTTAAAACTTGTTTCATTATAAAAACAATAACAAAACCTAACCTAGAATGGAAAAGTTTGAGTTTTTTCCTTTGCTGTGTTATTGTGCAATAAACAACGACATGGCAGGCTGTAAACATCAAAATGATCTAATCATCATTTCCACGGTTTTGACTGGGAGACAAAATTTACACAGACATTTACCCACCTACTAAAATCAAACAGACCAGAAGATTAGAAAGAAAAGAAAAACTCTAAAAAGCAATTACCTATTAGAAATTTGGTTTTGTTTATTCTCTTAATCTTCAGCAACCAAGGACGTCAGGAGGGTTGCAAGAACAGATTCAACTTATTTGTTTTTAAGTGCTCAGATTGCTTTGAGTTTAGGATTCAATTCATCATTTACAAAGTTGTTACTGAGAGTGGAACTTTTTGCACAGGTTTCCACCTTTCCAAACACAAACTAACCCCCTGACAGGGCTTTAGGGCCAAGAGACTGATAGATGCCAGATGCCCCTAACTCTAGCTCAATAGCTCATAAAAAAACCTTCATCTGCTCAAATGCAGGTAAAAAAAATGATTGTGATGTGATGTTATACAGCAAAGTAGTCAGTAGGAAATAATCAATGTCTAATAAGGGACTCATTTAGAGTTATGTGAGAGTCACTGTAATTACTGGTATTTTTCTACTATATGTGTAGTAGGTGCATTTTTGTATAGCCTACTTTAAAACCCTAATCACTCTAACTTGACCTCCTTTATAGAATTAATTTGCAAAGATAATTAAAAATTTTGGAGGAAAATATAACAAGACACTAATGAGGCTTGATCAGCCGTATAATAATCAGGATATTCTATTTTTGCATTTGATGCAAAGTCTATTTTCAACCCGCGATGCAGATTTGTGAAGAGGAAATGACTCTTACAGCTACAAAGCAGCGTTCCTTTGAGTCATGACGAGTAGGCTCCATTTCCTCACCTCACATGTTTCTACTGCTCCATGCTGTTCTCCTCTCAGATAATCAGCTATTGATCTCTTCTGCCTCACTGTCCCTCCCATTACCTTGTCTGTTTTTCCTTATTCTTTCACACCCTATGGCTCAAATAATTTATCCTCCTGGACCGGAGGTAAAGCAGAAATCCATTTGGATATGTGACCGTGGGAGCAGACCACCACAGTTTTAGATCGACAGTTGTTGAAACCTTTCCTTTGTGTGACAGTTATTGAGTTACCGTTATTGGATTATGTCGCTGACACCTCACAGATGCCCCACATCTTATCTGATTTTCTTTTAAGTCTAGAACCAAATTAAATCTGGGGTTGTACATAAGTGCTGTTCACAATTGATTTCCGGTGTAATCCTTGAAAAGAACCCATTAATTCAGCAAATGAAGAAGTCAGTCGAGATAAATCACTTTACTTTGAAGACTTCAAATGAAATAGCCTTCAACTTTTTCAGATCTTTACGCTGACTTTGAGGGAGACTTAAATGAAAATGATGCAATAAAGTGATATAGGTTGGTCAGTGGAGGGGGATGATTGATTGATGGGGAGGATAAGGGGTTGAGTTTCTTTAGTCTTACTTGTGTAAATGTGGCACTCATACTTATTGTTCCAAGTTCTTAAGATAGGATTTCACTAAACTTGAGTCAGGGCTGGATGAGTCTTAAAACTGAACAGATTTTACACCTGTTCATAGTTGTATAAAGCCTTTGTGACCACAGGATGAGAGTGTGATAGATGTTGACTTGGAGCTGAACAAGTTTGAAAATGACACAAAAAAAAATGCCAGTGTGGAGAAATAAGTAAGCTTCCAGACCTCTGTAGCCTGCTCCTCCTCTCTGCTTGAGGCTTGCAGCTTGAGGCTACATTAGTCACTACTAGCATAACACAAACTCCCACAGAACGCTCCATGATCAAGTTGCATTGTAGGAAATGTAGGCCTGTGGTTTTGACAAACAGAGGGAATGTGTGGAATCATACTGATATGTATTAGTCCTGCTACTTCGGTTTCAACATTTTATTGTAAGTGAAAATGTAAAATCAGTATAGTATGCATTTAAGTCCTGCCTTCTGAATGTTATTCATACCCATACCAATATGAATTGTATTGTGATTCAAAAATAAATCAGAGGGGCGCTGGTTAACTTAGTCAGTAGAGCAGTTGCCCTTTAAACAAGGCCTTAGTCACAGTTACACATTTGAGTTACGTGTGGTTTACACTTGAACACACATGAACAGCACATTAAAGTAACTTAAACTAATAACTGATTAATAATATCTTTGTTGGGAATCGACTCTATCTCGACATCTATCGGTAGCATTTTTTCACAGCTTATACCAACACATCAGGCACATTTTGGACTTACCGTTGCTGCTAAAGAAAGAGTAAAATGTGTGTGCCAACAATTGGTCTTCATCAGTCTTAACCTAAATTATGGGATTAATTGACCCGACCCAGCATTGACTGAAATCCAATAATTCTCAACAAAACCCACAGTAACAAACCAAATCCCAAAACATTAAAGAAAATGGAACAAAAGTGTAACCTGATTCATATCAGTTATATTGTTTTTGTAAAAGCACAATATTTGCAAATAAATGTATAAATAATTGATTAAAATGCATCAGTAATTTAAAGTTAAAATATGCAGCCTACATTTCAAGATATATCACCGGTTTAAGTATTTTATAAAGCTATAGAGTAATCATGTTATGTAAGAGAAGCACAGACTGAAAATATTAATGGACAAAGCCTAAATGACTTCACCTGTTTGTTGCTGCAGGGGGCTCAAAATGCTGTCTCACCCTAACTTTAAGTCCACCTAACGACAGGCATAGCCTTTTTCATCAGTGTGCGAATGTGGTGTGAATGAGTCAATGTGACCTGCGGTGCAAAAAGCTCTTTGAGTAGTCAGAAGACTAGAAATGTGCTATTCAAGCTTCAGTCCATTTACTGTTTACCATGGATGGATGGATGGATGGATGGATGGACGGTTACAAATAAACAGCCCAACAATGGTTGCTATCTTTTCTTTGGACTACAGATTCTACAATTTAGTTTCTCACCTACATGTTACTTCATAAGTGTCCTCTTTATTTGGGTTTTCATAATATTTTACAGTTATAAAAATGTGCGTAAAATACACTTCTACTTTTTGGGAGTTTCACAAGTTAACCTCATGTTGTTCTTCTCTTTGTTTGTAGTGATGATTCAAAATGTGGAGCTTCATGTTCCAATACCTGTTCCAACAGCCAGTCACCAAACATTGTCAGAAAATGAAAAGGATACAACTTCTGGAACAAAACTACCCAGAATAACTCTGCACTACACTGAAGAGCACTTGTCATGGCAGGCGGTACACTGCGCAGATCAGTGCGTAGTCAGAGAGTGCAGTGCGGTAGTAGTTGTGCTCTACTTTAGTTATGTACCTTCATTTTCCCAGGAAAGTTAGCGGGGTCAGACTTTATTGTACTCAAATGTGGCTCCAGCCTTGATAGAATGAATCATAATGTTTAGTGACTCACAGCTCACACAGATACAGTGAACACTGTACATTTATAACAGTATGATGTATTCATGTTGTAACATGTAAACAGTAATATTCATATATATATATACATATATATGTATATATATATATACTGGAAGTCTTGTGAAATGATAAGGATAGAAATCAGGATTTATTTATTCTTCCTTCTCTTCAAACATCACATCCCCATCCTGAGCAAAGTGTGTTAAGTCCTCTCAGGCAATTCTCCATTTTTCTTTCCCCTCTACTCCAAACAGCCGTGCATAAATACTTCTGTTATTCTAATCGCAGAATGTGTGCTGCCGTATGATTGGCTGACTGCTCATGACTCATTTGAACAAGCTGGTGTGAGGCTTGGCAAGAAGAGGGTGGGTTGGTGGGAGGGAGATGTGGGCAGGTGGGTAGGTGGTGGTGAAAAGGGGGAGCAGAAAGGCGTTAGTAAGACTCTGCTCCCACAGCTTTGTAGGCTGTTTGGTCACACACGCACACTAACACACTCACACAGAATAAAATACTTACAAAGGGAGCCAAGTTAATGTAAATTGCACTTTCCCCACTGTTTTTTTCCAGCTATGGTTGCCTGTAGCCAGACTTAAGGAGACACAGCCTGGAGGAGGGAGAGGAAAAGAGAGAGAGAGAGAGAGAGAGAGGGAGAGAGAGAGAGAGAAATAGAGAGTGTGTTGATCTGCAGCCCCCAGCCTTCCCTCTGTTGCTGCTACAGTACGTGTGGAAGGAGGAGAGAGGGGAGAGAGAGGCGGCGGAGGCAGTGCTGTTGTTCGTCTCTGACACTTGAAGGGGAAGAAGAGAAGAACGCTGTGAGCCGTGTGGTGAAGAGAAGAGCCAGTCGGTTCCTCTGGTATGTGTCCAGTGTGAGTGAGTGACAAGGTCTACAACACTACGCACCTCCGCTGCTGTCTGAGCATCCTTTCATCACCAGGACTCTGACACCAGCCACACAAACAGGTGAGTCTCTACAGCATGAAGTATTCATATTACCTTAATTCAACCTGTCGCTTTCATTTGATTACTAAGTGTGATTACAAGAAGAAGGAAGGATTTTCAGAAAGTTAACATATCTATCATTAGTTGTGCGTCGATGTGGGTGTGACAGATGGAAGGTGTTTTTTTTTTTTAAATTGTGTGTTTCCTCACGTATTAGTTTGTGTGAAGGCTTGTTTACTTCCTGACTGGCAGGTGAAAAAGACGACTGGGACTTGGGGAAAACTACACTTCTGTGAGGAGTTAATCCAATTGATTTCATCCCCCACATGTGTAGTTCTATATGTCAGTGAGGGAGAAAGTGGGTGGAGTGGTAAAGCTCTGCTTCTGTTATCTCAGTCTTGTTGAGAAACAGAGAGAGAGAAAAAAAAAACACGATGAAGCCCTATCAGATGCTGCAGTTTAGGCGGACTACAGTGTGTTTGATGGAATGCAGATTTTGTTTGGTAGTGTGTGTGTGTGTGTGTGTGTGTGTGTGTGTGTGTGTGTGTGTGGGGAGAGGAATTTGTCAGGGCAATCTGCGGGTGTTTACATTTCAGATTTACACTGCTTTTCTTGAGCTTAGTGTGAGCCTTTTGTCTCAACTGCGCAAGAGAACTACTGCATCGATTCCCATAGTTTTTGTGGCACTGACAGGATGCAATCGCTGCTGAGTGAGATTGGTACAAAATTTGCAGTTTAAAATATAATCTGTTGCATCAGAAGGTTCCCAAAATACTGGATGGAGTTCAAAAATAGAGTTGACATCGCAACCAGGGTTTATCCTATGAACAAGATAATGTGTTGATCTTTTCCCAGTATTTTTATTGATAAGTGGTGTAAGGTATAAGGTGTAAAGTCTTTCATTATGAGTAGGAGTATTTCATGATAAATGTTTCATTTGCCCATATGTTCATTTGAAGGAAGAAATCGTGAAAATCATGCTCAAGTTTTGATTTGTCACATTTTATCAGATGTTTTTTTTTTTTTTTTTTTTTTTACTTATTGTCATCCAAACCAGACATTTCAGAATGCAGCATCTGCTCCTCCATGTTCATACACCACTCGTCGCGTACTGTACACATGTAATGTGTTTGCAATGGCAGCCCATGAGTGTTTACTGCAGGGAATCATCAGCAGGATGTTAGAATCATTTAATTCAATGCACCACTTGTTGAATCTCTGCTTCTTTTGAGCAAAAAAAAAAATGTTCTATAAGTGACTCTAAATTACCCCGACTTACTTTAAGCGTGTACCATTTGCGTACAGAGAGGACAGAGAAATACGAGGCTTTGTGTAGGACCATATGGCTGAATGAGATTTCACAGAGAGACATTGTCACTGTCTAGATGCTTTAAACCCCTGAGCCATGACCGTGATCCCGGCTGCCATTGAGAAGGAAAAAATCCCCTCAGCGTTTGTCTCCCTCACAGTGGATGCTGCTGTTTGTTTGCCTCGGACTGTCAATCTGTCACAGAGTGTGATGTAGAGGAATCAGCCGCAGCTCCCCATTGACCCTGCCACATCCCTTTATCACCCGTCGCTCAATATATCTTTCCCCACATCTATCCCTCCTTCCATCCATCCCTTCATGTTTCCCCCAACGGGCTTCAAATGTTTGTCTCTTCACTTTCATCCAGCACCTCCCTCCCTTCCTCCCTAGCCCCCCCCCACCCCCCCACCCTTAGCGCTGGTCGCCACAGAAACGGCTGATTCAGGAAGGGTGGGCGGGTGTCTCAGAGCTCTCGCTGCTCTGCCCCATGCGGTGCTTTCACAGTACATTTCTGCTTCTGTGCTGCTTTTACGGCCCTGATATGCTGACAGTTCAGGTGGCTCAGTCAGATGTTACACAATCGTATCAACTTCACAAAGGCTGTTTTGTTCACTCCTCTCAAAGGACGTGTTCGCTATTTAGAGTTACATTGTAATTCATGTTCACTTTTTTTAAGCTGTGGTACAAAAACACAGGGATACTCTTCATTGCCGGGTAGCTGCATTTAAGGTCAGTTTTATTCCTTCTTTGTGCAGATAACAAAACGTACATTTCTATCCCGCTAATTAATGAGTGGATTGTTCCTGAGAGATTTCAGGCCTATTATTTGCTTAAACATTAATGACACCCAGGTCAGACTTACTGTGTGTATTTAGAGACTACACTAAGGTGATAAATAATGTAACATACCATGACCGACTCATTTAATAATAGATATGCCATGACCTTTCTCTTACATAAGGTGGATGAAGCAGAATGAAAGTGACGGATTGATTTAAATGGATTGATGAATGCATAACCTTTCTGCTTAGCTGCGTATTTTAGTACTCAAGTGACGTTTTTCAGGTTGTTGTTGTTTTATCCATTTTATGGCATATTTAAGGAAAAATCTCCGGTTGCCATGGTGATACTGTGTACAGTAGGTTAAAAACACTGCCTTTAATAGATGCTTCTGAGCAGGAAATGAAAACCTGGGTTGCACTGCACTCAATTCCAAGCAAGGACCCCATGAGCTTGTCCTGCTGTGCCTGATTAAATTAAAATGGGATTTTGTATTCGCAGGGGAGATGACGATGACGAGGACCAGCACAGTCTTATGTGTTGTTCTTGGATCGTGGGTTGTTTTTGTCGCCCTTTACAAACACTTTATTAATCACGGAGTCAAAAAAAAATAACAGTAATAAAAAGAAAGTTATTCATATTGTGTAACAATTCTATAAACGGGAATAAACAACAGGATCTAGTGAATCCATTCATTTTATAAACAATATTTGTTCTCATTTTACAGTACAAAAGACTATCTTGGATAATGATTTTTCCTAGTTGGGTTATTTTGTGTTAAAAAGCTTTAAAATGTTAGAGCTTGCAAGGTTTTATTTTTCTACCCTGCAGTGTTCAGCCATTACAGTCAGCGGTGACGCAGCCTGAGACTCACACAGCACACTGCAGACCAGTCACAAGACTCAGCCAGAACAAAGAGCACACACTGTCATCTAAGAGAAAAATCTCAACATGGATGATCACACAGAAGAATCTTTATCAAAAAACATTACAGGAGTGTAGCTCAGCGGAGTATGACGCCGTGGGCTGAGACCCTGAGGGGCTCATCAGGCTACTTTTAAGGTACTTTGTCCCAGGTAGCTGGGCACTGTGGCAGCTGGTCACTGTGGCAGCTGGTCACCATAGCGCACGCACACCTTTACATTACTTCTGTTTCCTTTTGTTTGGCTGTTTATATTTACTCTTTCATTTGATCAAGGCTGTAAATGGAGGAGGTCTCTGATTATAAAGAAAAACACTATTCAGGCTCTTTAATAGTATATGTGTCATATTACATCATAGTTCAACAAACCCAAATCTAAACCATGAGGGTAAGTTTATAAAAGAAGAATAAAACACTTTGCTCTGGAAAGATAAAATGCATATTTTAAATAACCAGAATCTTGCTAAATTATTGTGCTTAGATGTCAGCAATATAAAATCTTGATTGTTAGTGTTAAAGATATTAGAATGAAGATCAAACCTACAAGTCCAAAATATTGATGAATAGAATAATTATTGAACGATCAAAGATTAAACCAAACTACATGAATGGAACCTTAACACCACTCATCCAAGATGAATTCCTCAAACTGGTTAGCAAGTTCTTAACATGTACTGGCATTAATTAGTGAACAAATTAGCTTAACTAATCCAAACTTGATGTCAAAATGATCAAAAACTTATTTTTGCATTATATCTCGTTTTATTCTATTCCAAGAGGAGAGGCTGAACAACACGTTCCTTATGACAAAAAGGTTTTCACATATATTACACATAATAAAACTACAATGCATTAACATTATAATCCAATTTACATTAAGTATGCTCTACTAGGGAAGAAGCATCTGCCTTCTTGCTAACAAACAAAAAACAAAAGAAGCTGATTTCTCCATAAAACATGTTTGACTCACCACTATAAACCAACAAGAGCCACAAAGTAGGAGCACCAAAATATTTTTGTAATGTGAATCACAGGCAAAACAAATTTGTCTGAGATCGAGGGAAAAAACAGCAGCAGGTCCTGCAAAGAATGTTGGTTAGCATCAACCTGATTTACAATGACAACAACCACACAGTGGTAAAAAACTTCAAACTGTCTGTGTTAGGCTTCAGTATGTAAATGAATCTCCAGAAAAAAAAATATATATATTTCAGTGCCCTACTTTATGTAAATCCCTTGACTAGGCCAAACTAACAAAGAAATGGATTCACTAGTATGTATTTCCTGTTCAGCTGAAGCCTCTTGCAGGTTATTCCTCTGTACCAGACCTCCATTATTACCAAACACCACATCAGTAACCACATCATTGCACACCATTGATGTGTTCCTGCATTACCGTGAACATGGAGAGTGTAGGTCTTTTCTCCAGTCAATCCCACATACACCGGCCTGCTGCTGTAAATGTTCACTAGAGCATCAAATTTGCAGCTTAAAATAGTCCTGAAGTAAAGCGCTATTACTCCTGTAAGGGTAATGTAAGGTTCATTTAAATCTACACCGGCAAGCTGTTCCAGGAAAATATTTGATTCTTTTTTTTTATGAAGGTAAATGGAAGAGACCATCTTTTGTTTCTTCAGCAGGGTCAATGTTTTTTAAGACGACAGACAGACTTAAACTAGTGCAGAACTTTAGACTATTATAACAATCAAAGTCAGAATATAACTATCCTCTGGCATGCATGTTAAAACCCTACCAGACAATGTGAATCTGAGAAGTATGGAAAATAAGGGTATATCAGTAAAACTAGGAATGCAACTGTGAATTTCAATATATTGCGAGAAACAAAGGTCTTGATACAGTTGTGAACCTGTGATGTTATGAAACAATAGGTCTTTCAGGCAAAAAGTGTTGTTTTGTTTCAGTCGCAGTGGAGAAGAGAGGAGGGAAGAGGGAACTACAGAGACCATAGTCCTGTCTGCCCCCACTGGCTGCCTCAGTACAGCGAAAATA